TGGGGATTCAGATGATGGGGATTCAGATGATGGGGATTCAGATGATGGGGATTCAGATGATGGGGATTCAGATGATGCAAATGAAATTAAAAAGCAATTCCTAGATGCAGATGAAATGGTTAAAGCATTGCCAATTATTTTACCAAAACATCTAGATTCTATGTACACTAGCAAAATAATAAATACTCAAAGAATATCAAGTGCAGTTAAAGGTATTTATTTTAAAAATGATACAATAATATTTAACCATTAAAACTAATTATGCTATATTAACAGCTTTACTGAGTAAATCTGTCGATTCTGTCGAAGTTCCTGATGGTGAATACAATATTAAACCTTACAATATTTTTGTAATTAAAATTTTATTACTGATTTTGTATTTGTATTTAGACTGAATCACTTTAAAGATATAAGTTGATTGCTTATAATTATTATATAATTTGGTTTAATTTTATTTGTATAAAATGCTACTAGAAAAATATACAATTAAAAATTTTTCTAAATATACAGAACAAAGTTTTTTTTTTAAGATTGAATATTATTTAGATTTTTTTATTTCTTTATAGTAATATTTTTATGAAAACAAAATTGCACTATTATATGTATTGCTGTGTCCAACGTTAGCTAATGTGATTTAGTTGGCATTATGATCATTGCTTAGAAAATTAATGCACATATATTTTAAAAATTCTATTACTGTATATATATATTTTATTCAGGGTTGGCAAATAGAACAATAGAACAAAAGCTTGATTTTTCGTCTTATATAAAAAATATTTTTTTTATTAATAATTTGCAATTATTTAAATATATATTGTTAGACCATTAGTAAAATAATAAATTTAAAATATTTTTATATTTAATTAGTAAAATTTAATACTAAAAAAGTGAATAGAATTAGAAGCCAATAGAACAAACATAGTAAACGTGACATCCCTGATTTTATTATACACTAAATACTTTAATCAACTATATAGCATTTACAATTAATTTTCATACCAGTTCTGAATATAATATAATCCATATCGATATGTCACTAATTAAGCTGATATTTTATATTATTTACTTTATATAATATTTTCATAAGCTGTTGTGAATATCATGAATTAGCATAATAAAGCTGTGCTAATTTATAATATTTATAATAAAATATAAGTGAATATTAGGAGCAGTGAATTATTTAATCTATATAATATTTCGTATCATTTATATGCACTTCTTTTTTTTTAAAAAAAATAACATCATATTACCATTTAAAAGCCAATGTAAAATCCACAAAATATCAAAATGCACCGATAAATATTTAAAGAAAGTAAAAATTTAAATTATATATATGTATATAATGATATAAATACAGTTTAATAATTATAAATTATAGTTTACCTCCAACGCCCCACCTCCCGCCCAGCATGCCAGTACCCACCTGGCACGCTGCTGGAGATAGTAAATTAATAGTGATAAAAAAAACAATTTTGAAATACCTATAAAAATATAATAACAAAAAAGAAAAAATTAATAGTTATAATGGCGTTAGTAGGCATTAGTAAGCATTAGCATTAGTATTAGTATTAGTATTGTGCATATATGAGTCGCAAGAAAAATTTACCTAGTGTGAGTAACTCCAATACCTAATCTTTCAAAGTATATCTTCGACAACTCAATGCAAAACCATTAGAATTTATTTTCCATCTCCTTTGACGTTTCTCCATCAAAGCGAAAAAATTCTAGTATTTCAAATTCTTGTATATACATCAGAAAAAAAACCTTTTCTACCTTTAATATAATGATTGATTTGTCAAGAAAACATGCATTACTCGAATCGTACATCACAAAAAGGTTGTTATTAAATTATGTCGAAGCCCCATTTTAGAATGTATCGAAAAGTATTTATTTTATTACATATGAAAACTAACCTTCGGATTTGGAAACAACAGCAGGGTGCAGTCCGGGATATGGCTCAGAATTATTTATTTATCTAATTAGCATACGTGTTAGGGTGTTTTGTTTACAGTATTAAAATAGCAAGCTATTCATTTCTTTGAAATTTATTTTGAAAACAAAGTCTTTACTTTCTTTATTATCGCTGTTTTCGATTTAGTTGGATTTGATGAATTTTATGAGTCACATGGTTCCGTGTATAAATTTATTGTATTTTGCAAAGCTCATTTAACGGGTACTCTTTAACTATTTTAATTATTCGTATATTTGACTCTTAAGCTTTTTTTCACTAGCATAAATTTAAGTCCTGGAGCTTAAGATAAATATGTGAATAATTATTTGGCCTGCTAGACCAGACTGGTGTTATAAAAATATTTGTTAAATGGGTTCGACAAATGTAGGTAATTTCCTATATTGCAATTCTGCGATTACGGAACTCACGATCCTTTTTACTTATTGTGCATACTTTTTTTATGATGATTACATAATAAACCTAATCTCCTACATTATTTAGCCTTAACACTTCTACAAGTATCCTGACTTTAAATTTATGTACCTGCTTTTTTGGATTTTAACGTTTTCATAGTTTTTTGTGTCGAACGTTTTATCTTATCAGGCTAATGAAAATTGATAATCATGATTGTCAAAAACCAAAACTAAGGATCATAACGAAAGCATTTGACAATCAATTCTAAATTTTATGTTCTTATAACGTAACTTGTGCTAATAGTAATCCTCATACAAAATCATGTGATGCCAGAATTTATTTTGTCAAAAATAATTAATCTTATTTATTCTGCAAAACTTTATGAATTACACTTGTGAATTTTATTAGTTTCACTTTATTACTTCTTAATTCAAGTCGAAAGGATGATCTTAAATTTAACTAATAAATAAAATTTGAACCGATTACATACAAGATTTTGATATTATTGAAGCAAAACATGGTGGTAATTTGATCGGTGCTTATAATATTTCTTTTAAGTTTTATGAGTTCTTGATAATTTTTGGTTTTGTCTTTTGGATTTCTAATTCAAACTGAAAATCTACATAAAAAACAAATTAAAAGTAAAAACTCGGTTAAAACAAACAAATTATCTGCTTAGTTGTTTACATATTAACTAATCGATTTTATTAAAATCAATTATAGTTATGCAATTTCTAAGATTTCCAATGTAGAAAATAATGAACCTAAAATACGGGCAAGGTCAAGGCTAAATTTTTTTAAATCCTGAAAGCTTCGAAATAAAGTCGACTAAGCTGGCTAAGCCAATAAAATTTTCAACTGTCTATAAAGATAGATCACCATTTGCGTCCTATATTAAAAAATACTTTATACTCTTACTAGTGACGTAAATAGGTCTGTACTTATAAATCACTCACTACAACTGCATCCTGTGCGATACGATTTTTGTTTAATTAAACTTCAATTTTCTCAATTCTTTGAACTTACATGCCTAGTAAGCAAAGTTTATAACTTTTAAATCTTTAACTAAAAAAAATTAATAAAAATTACTCTAATGCATTAATAAAAGTTAAGAAAAATAAAATAACATTTTAAATAATCTCATACTCTAAATAACAATATACCTGAACAATATGTATGTTTACCAGCCAGGCACTTGAATGATCTTCGGATTCAATATTACCTCAGGGTTGTTTCACTATTGTTACAAAAATGATCGATTTTCTGTAGGAGTTCTTACTTAGAGAACAAAGGCTATTGTTTACAACGATTATAATATTATGAGTGATATTATGTGCATTAGACAAAAAACAATAAATAGGACCAAATTTGCTTAAAATTAAATCTGGTCCACCTCACCTCTTTTTGACAAGAAAAAATCCAGAGGGAATTACCTAGACCTAGGACCCAATTTTCTTTTCTACTTGACATATCCTCATAAACATTTTTAACCGCATAATATATTTATTTTAATTTATTTTCATCTTTCGGAAGCTGGGCTTCGAAGTCAATATTTTTCGCGAAAAATTAAAAGAATTAAATCCTTTGAATTATAATTAGTCATACGAATACAGTATTATCTGCACATTTACCATCGTCATACTATATATGTTGTTCTCAAAGAGATCATCAATAAGTAATACTACGTTGACAAAAAAAATATTCATCTTAATCACATTTTTCTACTTTGTTGAACAAGCTTTCGCACACGGATATGTTGTTGATCCAAGAATCCGAATGTTCAGTTTCGATAACGACATTTTGCAGATGACAGCTGGTCCAACAACTGAACAACCATGTTCCGGTTATGAGGCAGGTCCCATCGTTGCAACTTATCTACCTGGCCAACTTATTCCTATAACATGGACAATTTTTACTGCTCATGGAGGCAGCTGCAGTGTTCAACTCTCGACAAATGGCAATGATACTGATTTTCAAGAATTAAAATCTTATTCAAATTGCGCTGATGAAATTGGAACGTTTAATGATACTGTACAGTTACCAGCTGGAGTAACGTGCGATAAATGCACTTTCAGATGGGTGTGGAATTCGGCATTGAATGATGAATTGTATTTACAATGTTCAGATATTAATATTATAGACGAAAGTAAAAAGTCTACGGAAACCGTGTCACCTATAACTACTTTGCCAATTTCAACGACTATATCAACAACTTCGATGACCACAACGACTATATCAACAACTTCGATGACCACAACGACTATATCGACAACTTCAATAACCACAACGACTATATCATCAATTTCAATGGCCACAGTGACTCCCGGCTCTACCACTACCATAGCTCCAAAATTCACATCTTCAATTGCTACACCTACAAAAAAAGATAAACCATGTACGCGTAGTTCAAACAATTATAGACCATACGCAACAGTGCACCGATCAAAAAAGAAAAATTGTTCAAAAAAGTATAAATATATAAGACATTATAGACATGATCGATCAAGAAAATGGTCAGAGTATCATTATAGACATGATCGATCAAGAAAATCGTCAGAGTATCATAAAGAGAAATTTGATTACTATTAGAACTTTTTTAATTTAGTGTATCTTTTAATTTATTCGCGGAAAACTTTTACATGTGTTCGACAGCCGACAACAGCTATTTCATTCCTACAATTCACGTTTCCTGTTTAGGTATTCGATTGATCCTTCTGGATTTATTTCTTGTCAATTCATGTTTTAGCTCTTATTATCATGTTCAATTTTTCCAAGGGACCCAATAAATTTAATATTTCTATTTAAAATTTTAATTTATTTTTTCTATAATTTTGTTGTTCTTGGGCTCAGTTCTTTTACAGCTAAAAAAGGAAATTTTTAAATTTAATATATTGTGCATAAAACGCCAATATGAAAATAACTAATTCTATTTGCTGACAATGTTGTTTGTTCCTATTTTAGTAATTTTTCACAAAGCATTTTTAAATTAATTTTCATTAACATCACATGTACTGTATACACACGCCAATAAATATTACATATCGTATAAATAATTATTACTGTAGTTTCCCTTGCCATTCTGTTTGTTGGCTTGCGTTGCTTATAATTTCATTTATGAACTCTATATATGATACATTACAGCACTATATCGATATGTCGTTAACGTTGAGACAGGCCTAGTCACACACACTGTTGTGCGAAAGACGCTTTTTCACTTTTTTTCTTCGTGGTCACATGACTGGGCACAATTTTATGAATGGCGGCTAATTCTGAAATTCATGTGGTTTGTAGAATCACAAATAGACCAATTAGAATACAGAAACCAGAAATGCATGTGATCTTTAACTTCTAAGCTTTAACGGGCTTTGCGAGCCTTTTTTAAAAAGCCCAACCTGACCCGTGGGCTTAGCCTACTTAATTAATGTGTCTAAAAACATTAGCCCATCCTGGAACTTTTCAGGCTGGGTCAGGCTCAGGCTGACCTGATTTGTACCCTATTTACTGTAGTTATCTCGATATAAGAATGGTGGCGGTGCCGATAGTAAAAATTTTACAAAACTTTCTTATATCGAGAGTTAGAAGCTTTTTTATATCAAGTGAATTTATTATAGACTGATTTTGGTTTTACCTTTTATATTGAATTTTAATTAGTCTTCTTATATGATATTCATTCCTAGAGAATGGACCAGTTTTATTATAGTTTATTAGTGAAGCTATTGGTTGTATACTAGTAAGATTTTTGTTTGGTTTACATATTATCGTGATTTTGCTAAACCTATTTATTAAACAGAGTATTTATCAAATTCATTTATATCTAAGCCTTCAAAAAAAATGGAAATTTTAACATACAGTAACATGTAAGAAGAACCAGTAGAACAAGTATAGGCTGAGTTTGGCTTGTAAAAAAATTAAATGATCTCAGATTTTTGTTAAATACAGTATAAAAAGAGAAAAATAATCGTTTTTTACCTATAAGACTCATACTGTACGCATAATACTAATACTAATGTTAATGCCAATACTAATGTTATTATAACTGTTTTTGTTTTTATTATTATTATAGTATTCTAGACAATGTTCAAATTGAATTGTCTTTTTTATCACTATTATTCACTATCTTCAGTAGTGTGCCAGGTGGGCACTGGCATGCTGAACGGGAGGTGGGCTGTTGGAGATAAACTATAATTATAATTATTAAAATGTATTTATATTATTATATATATATATACTATATATAATTTAAATTTTTTTAAAAATTTATTTTCTTTAAATACATATTTATTGGTGCATTTTGATATTTTGTGGATTTTACATGGATTTTACATGGCTTTTAAATGGTAAGATGATTTTATTTTTTTAAAAGAAAAGAAGTACATATATGAGTCTTGCCAAAGTTGTAAAATATATACAGTATATATTCAATATAAACATAATAAAAAAATAATTTAGAATCTATAGATTTCAATGTGATTTTAAAAAGACTCAAAATTTTAGCTATTATGCACTCTGTAATTGTTAAATTCAAGGACCTTAATTTAAACCCATTCTGCAAATAATACAAAATATTATGTAGAGTAAATAATGTAAAAGATTCACTACTAATATTCTCCTAATTTTATCATGAGTATCTCAGATTAGCATGGCTTTACTTGCTAATTTATGATATTCTCAATATCTATTTTATATTATATACTGTATAAAGTAAATAATATGAAATATTAACTTAATTAACGACATATCAATATAGATCTTTTAAAATTAAATCATATTCAGAACCGGCATGGAAATATAATAATTGTAAATACTATATGGTTGATTAAAGTATTTAGTATATAATGAAAATATATGTGTGTGTACAGTAAATAGAATATTTTAAATTCGACACATCCTATGTAATCACTGAATAATTTCCGTGTAACTTATTCGGTCACCTCCTAATACAATATGCACCTCTTAAAAGATGAGTGAATATTTGCACATTTGTATTAGGAGATGACTGAATAATTGCACAGAAATCACTTAGTGCTTACATCAGACATGTCGTTATCATTTACAACTAGTGCATATGCTGCATTAATTTTCTAAGCAATGATCAGCCAACTAAATCATGTTAGTAGTGCAATTTTGTTCTCATAAAAATATTACTATTGGTTAAATTGTAAATGATAATAATTATTAACAATAACTGGATGTTTTAAAATAATTAAGAATTGGAACTATTTAACTGCATAAAAATTATTTTATAATTTGGGCCGAATTAGCAGTTTCAATATAAAATAGACAAGCATTAATTTGAAAAAAATCCAATAGCAGCAATAAATTAATTTTAATAAATATAAACAGCTTTTGTAACCAACTTTTCCGATTTGATGTATATTTTTCTAGTAGCATTTTATACAAATAAAATTAAACCAAATATAGATAATAATTATTAGCAATCAACTTACATCTTTAAAGTGATTCAGTCTAAATAAAAATACAAAATCAGTAATAAAATTTTTTAATTACAAAAATATTGTAAGGTTTAATATTGTATTCACCATCAGGAACTTCGACAGAATCGACAGATTTACT